TAGATCGGACTTGTAGCGACCTGCCTGTGTTCAGCCTCCTAAAAACTGGGATTACAGGTGCATGCCACAAAGCCTAGTCTCAATCCTGTCTCAGCAGGCCCTGGGGGTGGGGCTGGCATGGCAGGCCAGGGATCCAACCCCACTTGGCTGCTGCCTCTGCCTAACCAAGTGCTTTAATCCGCTGAGCTATTTGGCTAGCCCTTCATCAGTTTTTTGAGCTTTGAAATTTTAATGTCTTCATGAGTTCATTTTTTTTTTTTGGAACCGGGGATTGAACTCAGGCCTTTGTACTTGCCAGGCAACCACTTATTCTACTGAGCTATCTCCCTGGCCCTGCATGAGTTCATTGCATGATGAGACTGCAGCTTATCTAAGGCTTTCCTCAGTTTTGAGTATTTCAGTTGTCCTTTCATGTTTCTCATAATATGATGAATATATTTGTATATAAATGTTTTCTCATACCCTATCTGTGATATCTCCAAGAATTACTATGCTTAAAGTATATGAATTTCTTTGAGGTTTTATATATGTTTATTATAAATTTAGCACTTTTCTTGAATATTGACTATAAAATTTTCTTGAATATTGACTAAAAATTCTGTATGGCTTTCATGGAATCTCAAAATTATACCGACGAGGGCTGGGGAGATAGCTCAGTAAGGTCCTGAGTTCAATCCCCAGTGCTGGAAAAAAAAAAATTCAAAATTATGCAGAAGTCTTAATTTAGTTTTACGTTTTTACAGGGAAAGACAGTAAAGTTTATATTATTAAAATAAAAATAGCAAATCAAAGAAAGAAGTGTAGTTTTCTAGACTTTTGGTTCAGTGTTGTTTTCACTAGTGAATACTACTTACTATTTATTGAGTGTCTGAACATGGCTAAGTGTTATATTGGGCACTTGTGATTTCATTTTTTATTTTTGGTACTGAGAATCAAACTCACAATCTTGCACTGTGCCACTGAGCCATATCCCTGGCCCCTGATTTTTTTTCCCCACTTAGAGTTTTATTAAAAACTTCACCTTATCAGGGATAGTGATGCATGCCTATAGTTGCAGTACTGGAAGCTGAGGCAGGATCATTGCAGGTTTGAGGGTAGTCTGGGCTACATAGTGAGAACCTGTCTCAAAAAACTAAAATCAAAACTTAAAACCCCAACCCAAACCAAACCAAAACCCAAAACAAAATAAAGCAAACAAAATCCCCTTTTTTGGATCTTTCTAGTAAACTATATTGAATGGCTTGAAACTGCTTTATTATTTGTAGGAAGAGGGCCTAGACATTTTGATTTTGATTTTAATGTATTATGAGTTACTTCCGTTTTAGACTGCAGCCAGTCAAGGGTAGCGAAGTACCCGAGGTGGGGCATAAGGACCTTGGTAAATGTGGTTGCCTAAGGGGCCCTGAGAGGAAGGAAAACCCCCTCAGACTTGGGCCCGTATTACACATTCGTGCAGCGACTGTTCTTTCCCCACGCTGATCCCATCTTCATGGTGGTTTTTTGGCTTTCTTTTTCTTGAGTTTCTTTTGTTAGTTCACCAAACTGAAAAACTTTTTATTGTGAACCACTGAATCAAGCAAAAATTTAACAAGGTTCCTTGAGATTTTTAGGGTTTCAGTAGGCTGCAGTCACAGTGACCTGACACATTCTTTGTAAGGCTGTGTATGTGAGGCTGTCCTATATGGCCACCCCTCCATCCCTACCTTCCCGTAGGGCCTCCCATGACCTAGGTGAGCTCTCAACTGCTTAGCAGTGCCCTCTTGAATTCTCTCCCATGCTTTACCTTTTCTTCATTGCACATTTACCTGACGTGTATTTGTGTATGTTTCCTCTTGTATGTTTCCTCTTTGTGTATGTTTACCTCTTAAATGGTCCATAAGGACAGTTTTTGTCTTTTTGTTCATAGCTGTATCCTCAGTGCTTAGTATGGAATGGATAAATTTCATTAGTATTGAATTAGTAACTATTTGTATACTCTGGGGAAGGTAGTATATTACAGGACTGGCACTGGTACATATAGGATTGACTGTTGAATTCAGGAGATAAGAAAGAAGTTATACACTTTTAAAAACAAAGCTGATAGAATTGATTGTTTATGTAATTAGAGTTCATGTTCATCAAAAAATACCTGGTTATATTCCACTTAAGATGAAGATGATGACTTTATGTGTAAGAAGACAGCCTCTAAAGCAAAGGAGAATGGGGGATCTACAAATACTTACCTTGGGACATCCAACGTGAAGAAGAGTGAAGAAAACACTAAGAACAAGAATAAGCCTTTATCACCAATAAAACTCACACCCACATCAGTGCTGGATTATTTTGGAACAGGAAGTGTCCACAGATCAGATAAGAAGATGGTGTCAAGCAAAAGAAAAGAGGTAAATTCTGTACATAAGCAGGAAGGGTTTGAAGATTGGCAGGCGTGGTGCTGCATACCTATAATCTCAGCACTCTGAAGGCTGAGGTGGAAGGATGCCAACTTTGAAACGAGTTTGTACTACATAGTAAGATCCTCTCTCAAAGAGTTTAGTATTAATATGAGAAGTTAGGGTGTTATGAGCAGATTCACCTGTTTTAATAATAAAAATAGTTTTCTGATTATGGATAAAATGTATTGTTCTTTTTCAGAGGAAAAGTAAATTGTAATATAGTTAATTTTTTAAACTAGAAAGAAGTTATTTGAATGATAAGAAAAAGTTTTTTTAAAAAAAGAGAAAAACTTGTGATTCTTAGAATTTAAATTGGATTCTCAGGATACAAGTTGATCAGGCAGTTGTAGGGACTGGGTTCGATCCTTGGCACCATGTACTGCATTGACCCTGCACCCAGGTGTGCTGAGCTGGCCACTGAGTCTAGGCGTGGTGGTGTACGCCTGTAGTCGCAGCACTGAGGGGGCTGAAAACAGGAGGATCACTATGAGTCCAAGTTGTGTAGTGAGACCCTGTACCAGATACACTACAAAAAAAGTATGTAAGCTGATTTTACTATCACTTCAGCCATACAGGATTAGACAATAAGTTTGTTTCCAAATAAGATATAAGTAACTTTACATGTAGATAGAACGTAACTATGTAGTACCTTTAACTTCTTTTGGCTGCTAGCGGATTGATCTTTTTTTGGCCATTTAGGAAGCAGAGATAAATGATAGTGAAAGTAGCTTCCTGAGTTAGATCAGCCTGCTTGTGCTCTGGGCAACTTCTCAAGTGAAGACATTCATCTCAGTGCTTTTGTCTGTAGGGGTGGCTTCTTTTGAACACATTAGCAGAACTAAGTGAGAACCTTCTGGCCGTAGGATCTTGCTCCGGAAATTGGATGTGGTCAGGGAGTAGTCATAAACTTGCCTTTTGACTGGTATGATTGTGACTATTATGGGTATATTTATCTCCCCTTGGTATATTTAATTAGGTATACACAAGAAAGAAATCTTACAACTGAAGATTTATTCTGCTCTTGTTTGATTTTCTTTGAAATATAGCCTTCACAAAATACAGATGATTCCAGATTAAATGACGAAGCCATCGCCAAGCAGTTGCAACTTGATGAAGATGCAGAGGTATTGGCATCTATACCAATAGATGCTATCTAGCTATCATTAATAACTTTTTTGGCTTTATTGTATTTTTTTGGTTGTAATTTTTTGTTTTAGTTGAGGTTTATTTTTTTTGTGGAAATATCATTAATAACTTGTCTTATGAGTTGCTCATTAGTTTAGCTAGGCAGTCAAGATTGTTCCAGTCTAAGTTCAAATTGAATCTCATTGAAAGTTATGTGAAAAATAAATGTATGAAAACAATTTAAAGGGGCTGGGGAGGTAGCTCAGTAGAATAAGCGCTTGCCTGGCAAGTGCAAGGGCCTGAGTTCAATCCCCGGTTCCGCCCAAAAAAACCCCCAAGAAAACAAAAAAAAAAAGAAAAAAATTTAAATTTCTACAAAAGGTAAATGATGAGACTAAGAGATAATCATTTACTAAAGATTTATCTTTAGAGTTGTTTGAATGTGAGGTACCTGTGGTATATTTAAAATGATTTTATGTGCTCGTAGCTCTTTTGTGTTGTTCTCTGTAAGCACTCTCCCCTGGTCCTGTGGTTTTACCTACTACAAGTATGCTCATGACCCCTAAATCTGTTTCTAGTTTAGTTTCTCTTGAGCCATAAAACCATATATTAATTTAGCATGTATTTATTGAGCACCTCCAAGTGCCTAGCACTGTCCTAAGTATTAAAGGCATTGAAGTTTTTTTTTTTAAAAAGAAAGAAAGAAAGAAAAAGGGCTGGGGAGGTAGCTCAGTGGCTTAAGTGCTTGACTGGCAAGCACAAGGTCTAGAGTTTGATCCCCTGTACTGCAAAAAAGCAAGCAAGCAAGCAAGAAAGAAACAAAATGTAACGGTAGGTAATTAATAGTTAGTGAAGAAAAGGAAAGGAGTAGTTTTGGGGTAAGTGGGGCTATGAGAGTTCCTCTTCTACTGTGGCAGTGAGATCCCCCAAGGAGGCTTGGAGGTGGAGCAGTGCGGTTACAGCTGATCTCGTCGCTTGCCCCTCTTGTCAAGCTCCAAGCCAGCATGTGCCAAGTGGCCACCACTTTTTCCACAGGCTGAGCTGCGCTTGAAAGTGCAAGTGTGTCTTAGATGGGGAAGACATGTATTTCTTCCCCCTGGCCTGTGACCCTTTTCTTGGAGTTGATGTGCATAGCTGTCCTTAGTTTGAATTGTAGGGACCTTCTTTGAGGATCAAAGTAGTGAACCCATCAGATTGGTTCTTTTCTTTTTTTTTTTGATTGGTTCTTTTAATGTGTAATTATTGAGATAATAAAGATATTCCTGTGAGATGAACAGGGCAGGCTGACCTGAAAAAACCTTCCTGAAACCCTGTTCGATCACCCTATAGATGCATGTCTCACCCTCAAGCCCTTCTAAAGAGCTCAGCCTTTCACACACTTCATGTGGAACTTGCCTCCTGTGCTCATGTAGCATGTCAGTAGACTCCTCACTTTCCTATACTTTTGACCCACATGGTGCGCCTGGCACAGCAGATGTAGCATTGTGTAGAAATGAAGTGACATAGGGAGCTATGGTGCTGGCTGCAAAGGGAGGAAGATGTATGCTGAGAAGAGGAAATAGCGGTGGAAGCATCTTGAGCTAGAAATGCACTGCGAGTATTCAGGTGGCTCAGGTGCCATCTGGCCAGGGAAGAGTGATGGAGGGGGAGGGTGGGGAAGATGATTCTGGAGAAGTGGCCAGCAGCGCACCCTATAAGACAGACTTGAATAGTAACCAAGGGGATGTGGATGGTGAGGACTTGGGATTTTGATCTGTGTGATGGGATGCCATTTGAATTTTGAATAGAGAAGTGACAAGACTTGTTGGATCTTAAAAGCAGTCTTCTGTGATGCTGATGGACCATTGTGGGGTCAGAGCAAAAGCAGGGCAGCTTGTAGGGCAGGTGAGTAGAGACTCTGACTTGTGCCAGATTGGCAGTGGAAGAGGTGATGAAAAGCCATAATAATCTGAACATGCCTTGCTGGCTGGATGGTGATGTTATTGATTGAGGCTGGAACACAGGAAACAGAACAGGTTTGCTATGGGAAGTCAGGAGTTGTGTTTTAGACAGACTTGTAAGTAGAGATGCACAGCAAGTAGTTGAATAGAGGCATCAGGAGCCCAAGGTAGATAGAGGTCTGCTGCAGATGGAAATTCTGCAGTGCTATTTAGAGCCAGTATACCTGGATTAAATCATGGGGAGAGTAAACTGAAAAGAAAAAGGTCTCATGATTGAGCTGAGGTATGGTTACCATCTAAAGACCAGAAGAGGAAGATTCACAGAGACTAAGGAAGGGTGGCTAGTGGAGGACAGTCTGAAGGGCTTGGCATTTTGTGGATTTAAGGAAGTATTTCAAGGAGGAGTGCTTACCAGGCTCCAGGCCTAGGTTACTTTGGTTTGAATACCTCTTGTTTCCTACTTTAAACGTCACATCCTCATACTGTGAGCTAAACTATATTTGAATTCAGTCCTAATAGTTGCTGTTATTGTTCATTGTAGTTGTGATTTCCATGTCTTCTCTGTAGGCTCTCGTTGCCACTGTCCAGTATCTCACAGGTATCGTGGCATGCTAGTGCCTGGTGTAAAGCACACTGTAATTGTCTCTCTCTCTCTCTCTCTTTTTTTTTTTTGGCGGAACCAGGGATTGAACTCCGGCCCTTGTGCTTGCCAGGGAAGCGCTTATTCCACTGAGCTATGTCCTAGCACACTGTAATTGTGATTGTTCCCACTTTATTACTTTGGCAGATGATAAGTTGTGTTCTCAAAATGTTGTTTTGTTTGCTAAGTTTCATTATCTGTAGATATCTTTATGATTCAAGGTGGAACAAGCGGTGAGGTTGAACTATGAGGTAGGAGGGACCTGACTTTTTCTGAACTGTCTAAATGGTGGAGGATTACCCAGTTCTTTCCAAATCAAGGGTAGTATTTTATAACATAATTCTGTTTTCTTTTTTATTAGGTTCTTTTACAGTATGGTTTGAAAAAAAAGAGTGTAGACAGTGGCTTTGTTTGGGCTGGGGATGTAGCTCAGCGGCATAAGTGCCTGCCCGGGAAGCACAAGGTCCTGAGTTTGATCCCTGGTACCAAAAAAAAAAAAGAGTGTAGAATATGGTTTGAATGATCAATCTTTTAATATTAGTGGTTTATGATAACTCCTAATTATCCCTGAGTTACTGTCCTTTCCCCTCATTTTTATATCTTTACATTTATTTAGTAAATGTGTGTCTAGCAATTAATACTTAGTGTTTTAAATGCCACATTCAGCTATGTTAAACATTGTGTTAAAATATAAAACTCTTGATCACGTAATGCCATAATCAGCAATAATGGATTTGTAGTGGAACTATTTCAGTTTTTCTGCCGTCTGAAAAATCCAGAAATTTTTTATTTTTTTGGTGGAACCAGGAATTGAACTCAGGTCCTTGCTCTTGCCAGAAAAGCGCTTATTTTACTGAGCCATCTCCCTGGTCCCTTAGAAGTTTTTTTTTTTTTTTTTTTTTTTTTTTTAAACCAGGAATTTAACTCAGGATCTCATGCTTGCCAGACAAGCACTGTGCCACTGAACTAAATCCCCAATCCTTTTCTTTTTTTCTTTTTTTTTTGAGACAGTCTTGTGCAGCTCAGGTTCTCCTCAAACTGGTGATCCTCCTGTTTCAGCCTCCCGAGTATAGAATCCACTAGAAGCATACTATATAGTGTGAAATTTTTGAAACATAGCATAAGATTCAACCATAAACCCTCACAAGGCTACAAGTTTCTTGGAATTTGCAGGACATCTTTGTGACTAAGAGTTTTTGTTGTTTTAGCAATTAGATGCGTAGTTCAGTTATGATAAAGAAATAGTAGGTAAAAGAATATATTAATGTATACCAGTCCTGCTTGCTTATAGTTCAGTTTAGCTTGTTTTGTTGATTTTGGTGCTAGGGACTGAACCTAAGTCCTTGTGCATACTATTACTACTGAGCTTCACTGTAATTAGTTCATTTTGTAACCAGGAAAAGGCTTGTGTACTGTGTTCCTGTCAAGGGTAAGTATGTCAATTTCTAAGCCTTTTCTTTTGGATTAGGTGGAATGGGAAGATTTTTGCATTTGTTTGAATAATGTAAGGAAGGTTTTTTTTTTTTTTTTATTAATATTATGTTAGGCCATTTACCCAGAGGGAATAAGTCCATTAAGTTTATAGTAGGAAATACATTCCATAGCTACAGGTTTTCTTCTGGAAGGGCTCCATTTGCTGAAAGTGAAAATACTTGGAAAAATAGTGAGGTAACTAGAATGTCTGTGTGTTTTATTATTTATTAGCATGTTAGGAATACTTCTGACGTGATGACTTAAATTTTCAAAAGTCAGAATAGTGGCATTTGATTCAGTAGTTGAAAATAGGTTGATGATAAGTGACAGTAATATTTGTATATGTTTAGTATGTGTACAATGAAAATGTATAATTTTCTCAACTTAGATTTGCTTTTCTTGCATCTTCCAGGTGGTGATTTTTCTGTTAGGTTGAACTTTATTTGGGAGATCTTTCTAGAGTTTAAAATACATGTAAATAAGATCTGTATGACCATTCTGAGAAAAATATAGACTTAAGAGTTCATAAGAAATTCACTATGAAAACAGCTGGATTTTTCTCTCATTCCTGTAAAACTAGAAATATGTGATCTGAAATCTAATGTTCAGAAACAAATCTGTGATAGTTGACTAATAATACTGTTCCATAGAAAAATGTCAGGGTAATTTTTTTAGGAAATGTTTTCATTTTTTTCATAGTCTTAATTTGTGATCATCAACAACAGCAACAATAACCTCACTGTATTGATACTTTTTACAGCTGGAGAGGCAGATGCATGAAGATGAAGAGTTTGCCAGAACATTAGCCATGTTGGATGAGGAACCCAAGACCAAAAAGGTGGCCTTAAGTTGGACTGTTGGCATTGTGAATATTAGGTGTAGACCAAAGCCCCTTCCCATACCTGTGTATTTTAGGCTCTGGCGCTACCACCTGGAACAACTTTTCCAGAAAAAGCTGCATTATTTTAATTA